AATTTGCCCTGGAAACATGGTGCACTGGTCGAGCTCAATGGGGTCTTCGAAGGATACTGTACCATAACGACCTTCACTGGAAAGCTCGTTCCGAGGGAATTTGTATAGTGGGAGCTAACGCCTCTAGAAAAGTATCCAACATTAAATCGATTCACGAAATTGCGTAAGAGCTTCAGGCTGAAGCTCTTACGGTAGACCTCCTTGAGCCTGATGACGGTGACAGATGACGTCATATTCTGAAGACGGTGAGGGTAGTGAAGGAGAGCCTGCGTTCACTTATAGAGGGACACTTAGCTCTGCGAAGAAAAAAGGGCCGAAGTCCGACATCGGCAAAACGTTTTTTATTGCCCCCCTCCCCTGTATACTCCCTTTCAGTAAACGAGAAGATCGTCGTGAGCAGACCATACACCACAAGTGACGACGCCTCCACAAAATGTACATGTTTTCTGCCCATGAAATGATCAGCCTGATGCATTGTATTCTATCAGTTGTCACTAATTAACCATCATTTACCAAAAATCAGTTATCGCTATGAACCACCACTAATCAGGCTTACTTGAAGGCCGCCGTCACTTGTGGTGTGTGGCCTGCACCCGATGCTCTTCTCGTTTTCGAAAGGCAGGATAATTCTCGCGAAGTTTTTTGCGTAAACCTAGACATGATAGTAATCGCAGAGGTTTCTTCTATCAGAAATCTGCCGAGTTTTTTTTTGATTCCCAAATCTCCTTTTTCTATAAACTGAATAACTAGACCTTGCAGCAGTTACATTACGATACAAACCTTTTCATTTAAAAGGTTAGATCTTTCCACAAAAGTGGTCTCGTGAAATGAGATACAGAAGGTTGAAAAATTCGAACTGTTCTTTTTCCAAAAAGTATTTAACCTGTTGCATATGTTCAATACTTCGAAAAATCTTCACGCCGTTCATTTTGAATTGTGCCTATTTTAGGCTATTCCCCTGAAACGCGAGTTTTCAATCTTCAAATGGCCATAAGTTTCCTCAAAGTCGGAACATTGAGAAGCTCAAAACCCATTGAAATCAACAAGTTCGTACCTTACAGTGTATGCCAGATTATCTTGGAAGGAAAACTTTCTGCCAGAGGTTTCCAATAGGTCTCTAGAGGTCAACCCACCAGACTCGCTGCACATTCCCTCACTTTGTTTTGGTCTAAGAACATGGGACTTTCTTTGAAAGAATTTTTCCGCTTGTGCTTTCTGGGCCGTGACATATCTAAGTAAGAAATCTCGCTCTTAGCCATGCCTTAGCATCTTCGAATTTTGTGATTGGTACTTGAGGATACCACTCCCTCCCCTTCCGATGGCCAGATACGACACCTTCGTTGTTCTTTGCACAACAGAGGGAGAGCAAAAAAGGACATTTTGCCCATGTCGCATTTCAGCGTACATTTCTTTGTCGCCGCAGGGATTGTTGTCGTTGACGGAAGCTTTCAACAAATATTCTTCAATGTCGTTCTATAAGTAGACGAAGCTCTCCTTCAATGCCCTCGCTTTCTTCAATATGACGTATCTGCCACCGTCGAGCTCGAAGAGACCTGCTCCAGCTAGAGTTACTCAATTTCTTAGATCGACTTCTCTTGGTAAGTTTCACAGAGACATGCTCTGACTACGACTCAACCCCTCGAAACCCATTTCGGAAAACGTCGTAATGGTACTCGATCCGAGATGACCAAGTTGAGCTCGACTAGCGCACCATGTTCTCGCGGCAAATTCTTCTAATGCCACCCACGTGGAAGGCCACAATGAAGTTTTTTCATTGAACGGAATGTGACTCAAATCTAAGGCTGGTGTCAGAGACCGCGACCCGTATCGCAGGTTTCGCTGATTTGCGGCGACTCACGCGGTTCGCACGACGGATTCACGAAATACAAGTGCCCGATCAAGCATTGCAATAATGTTCTGACTGACATCAGGCGTAAGTGGGAGCATGGCCGTTGCTGAATAGCCAAGAGTGATTGACATTGGGATGAAGGCCAAAATGTCTTTTTTGCCACCCCTCCATGTACTCTCTGCTCTGCTATGTTTCTTGGGCTGCACACGAATTACGAACTCTCATGCAAAGCAGCCGACGATTAGTGCGAGCGCGCATACTACGAAAGAAAGCCTTGACCTCACCGGAATTACGTAAGCTCAAATAGTCAAAACAATGAAATTTGATAGATAGGCAACCGTCAGAAAGAAGCTAGTGATATACCCACAGTTTCCCACAGTCAACCGTCAAAGCAATCTCAAACATTCAACAATATGCATGGCACCCAGCCCACAGAAAAAAAAGCGAGAATCGGACACGAAAAAAACCACGAAATAGGTTCAACCAGACAACCACATACGCTGGAGAACCAATGTGTGAGAAAAACAAGGTCTTCGTTATTCCGTGCCAGATACTGCCGGCTTGTGAAGGCCAGAGTGCTTACGAGCGCAGGTCACTCGAAATCAATAGAAAGGTAAAACACCCAAGCGTGGGACGGTGCTAACTTAGTTCCGGAGGGGGGGGCACGCGGCGGCCCGACAGTCTGCCCCTTCAACTGGGACTCTCCGAGCGAGCGAGGACACAGTGTGAACTCGAACATTCCAGCCTTTTCACGCATGGTCAACGTAGATGCCCCCCACCCCAACCCCATTAGGCTGGCTCACTCACGCATGCGCACGGCATGTCTAAACATGCGCACGAGACAGACTGCCGCGCCGCCCGCGCTGCTGTGGCCCCCCCCAACTAAGTCTGCACCCTGGCATACTTAGAAAATGTTGAGCGAAATGACGAGAAAGCGCTCAGTTCGTTAGGGGGGGGGATCATTGGTGAGTGAGCCCACTTGAAAGTTGGAAATAAGTCTAGCGAGCGAGTAAGAATTCTGAGGGAGCACCTCTTAAGCAGCTTGTTCTTCCCTAGCGTTTGTTTTCACTCCTTGGACTTAAGTCCCTGGGGCCACCAATCAGTCAGGTTTTCAATGCCCGTTTTTAAATGCTTCCCTCCAAGGATATTCGAGCGCCAAGGACACACTCAGGAAAAACGCGGGCATGAGAACAGCGGAACAGTAACATGAAATAGGCCGCAAAGTAGAGAATGGTTGTTAATATTAATATGAGTTAGTTCCAGCTGAAGAAAAGACAGGCGATCAGCAGTTGCAAGAAGCAGGACATCAGTAATATCATATAACGTCGCTGATGGATGTAACACATGTTCGGACTGTGCAAAATCGCCAGAAATTTTTGTATACGTATCTCGGCGGCGAGCACAGCACGACGGGTGAGCGCGGTTAGCAACCTATGTGTAGTTCTCAAGTCGTGTTGATTCTATTAACTAAACAGTCGTTGAAATAGGTCGTTCGCTACTCTACGCTGGCTGAATTGGATCGGGAGAAAGTCTGCACAGTTCTTGATTGATGGAATTTTTCATTCTCATTGTCTTTTTCGCTCCGCAGCGCTGTGTTCCTCGTGGGTTTAGGAATCGTCGTCCGGTACATTGCTAATGGTATTTTTCTTCTTGCAGTTCTACATCCGTGTCTCGATTGTTCCAAAAGCTTTTGAATCTTGGGTGGTTTAAGCGTCCTTTCTTACGGGAAACTTATGGCTCTTACACTGATCGCTAACGTACACACGAAAATGCATGGTCGAGTTATGTAGCTGCACCTTTGTGCGACCATGGTCTGTCCGGACCATGCCCTACAACCGGTTAACCCTGTCAAAAGTCCTTGCATTTTTCTTCGAGTCGTGAATTTTACGCGGCAGTCCTCCCACATCTCGTGACCTAGGCTATACTCGCTCAGCGAACGATTCTTTCACTTTTGCCTAATGTCAACACTACTTCCCTACAGAGGCTATTCTCTCTTTTTGTG